AGAGGGAGGAAGTAATAAATAGACTCCGATGGTTACAAAATCATAGCCTACACTATTTTCAAAAACCTACCACAGTGATCTTCAGAAAAGAAGTGACAGGACAATTGAGAAGCCCTGAGGTTCTGTGAATACTAGTGTGGGCAAGGACAGCGTCAGAGCCTTGCCGCTCGGCGCTGGGATGGTGCCTTGGCACGGCCCAGGGGTTGGAAGCCAGAGGCTGCTCTGCTGGTCTGTGGAGTGTTCCATGAGGGGGCATTTTCACCACCTGGAGTTCAGAGTGCTCTTTCCACACGCTGGTCTCCTGGTGTCAGAGGCCTAGCTTAATAATGCTGCTCTCCGTCGGCCTGCGGTCCGGAGAGACCCGGGTTCGGTTCCCGCTAAGGGCACGTACCTTGGTTGCAGTTTGTCCCCGGCCCTGGTTGGGTCGTGTGGGTGGCAACCACTTGATGTGTCGCTTTCACGTCGATGTTTCTCTCTCTCTCTCTCCCACTCATTCTATCTGAACAAAATATCGAAAAATGTCCTCGGGTGAGGATAAAAAAAAAAAAAAAAATAATGCTGCTCTCTGGGAGGGTTTGCCCAGCTGCCATCCCTGCTCCCTGGCAGAGCGTGGCCCCCCCACTCCCATACCATGGGTCCCAAATGCCTCTATTACAGAGGGGACCATGCTGTAGTCATTAATTTCATCTTTATTCCCCCAAGAAGAATGCCAGTTCCCCAAGGACAAGTCAACTGAGCCTTAGCAGCTCTGCCCCGCCCCAAGCACCCAGCGTGGAGTCCGACAGGTCTAATGTAAGGTGCCAGTGAGGCAGCTCTGGCTCCATGCTGAGTGACATCGACTCAGACATGGCTGCTGGGTCCTGTTCCTTGGACAGCTTGTAGTCAAGCTTAGAGGAGCTTCCAATCAAGATGGCAAAGGAGGTTACTCTTTTGTTTCCTTAATAACAAATTAATATAGTATAACAGCAGAAAAAAGGAGGCTTAGAGGACTTAATATGGAAGCTGTTATTCCCAGTGACTGCACTACATTCTACTCTGCATGAAGGAATCTGTTTGGATTTGTCTCAAACCAGGCGACTCTGAGGCTGAGATTAATGCGTGGTCGCACTCCAGCCGCAGGGACAATGGCTGGAGGAGGCACCGTGTGCAAGCCTAAGGAGGCTGAGGCTCGACTGAACCTCTAAGCTGAGTGCTGAGGGGTCAGAGACAGGAGGACAGAAGGCAGCCCCCGAACCCCCGGGCTGATGGAGCACAAGGACAGCAGCACCACAGAAGGCCTGGAGGGGTGGAACTTGGCCTCTCAGAGGCACAAGCAGGCACCAGGTGGCCATAGCATGACCGGGCGGCCACAAGAGACAGGGAGATTTGAGGCGTGGGGCGGGGAGGGGGGTGCAGGGCCCACACTTGAGGGGTGGCTTACGGGGCTGACAGTGCAGCTGGAGGAGAAGTGTATCAAATGCATTAATATCTGCTGCAAAATCGACTGGCACAGCCATGGAAAGGGGAAAAGTAGAGGCCCATTGCCAGAGTCATGATGGACTTCAGAAAGTGCTTGTTAATTGAAGAATCTAAAATTAGTTGTCCTTCTAAAATATTCTAAATGTGTTACTGTGAAATATATATGCAAAGAACTCAATGAAACATGTGTGTCCTGCTAAAGAGATAATGAGGTAAACACCGAGAAGCCCTGGGGTCCTTCCTGTTGCGCCCTCCCCCCAGGAGGTAAGTGCTGTCCTGCACGGTCAGCCACTCCATTTTGTTTTTAATCCTAAATGATTTTTAGAGAGAGAAAGAGAGAGAGAGAGAGAGAGAGAGAGAGAGAGAGAGAGAGAGAACGAACCATTGATGTGAGTGAGAAACATCAATCGGTTGCTTCCCATATGCGCCCCAGCTGGGGCTGGAACCCGCAACCTTTTGGTGTACAGGACAATGCTCCAACCGACAGAGCCACCCAGCCAGGGCTCCCTGGTTTTTATACTTCTATTCCCTCCTCAAGATTTCCTAAACAGCAGCCCGACGGCTGAGCCTGCGTGAACATGCCCAGAGAAGCACAGGTGACCGAGCTGTGGCCCTGTGGCTTCCTCTCGGGCACCACTGTCTCTGCGGCTCACCCCAGCACAGTGCTGCTCCTGCAGCTGTGCACCTGTCCCTGTCCCGTCCCGGCTGCCCACAGCTCACTGTCTCGTGGAAGCGAGTTTCAGACGTTGCTGATTTGGGGGACTGTTGTCTCCTGCGATGAGGAGTTTCACTGGGGTGTAATCCTTGCAGTGGAACTGTGGATCCTAGGACATCACCACGCTGTCCTGAGCTCTGACTCAGTGAGGGTGGGGTCCCTCTGCCTTGAACCTGGGCCAACCCTTGGTGTTTCCTCCCTTTCTAATTCTGCCAGTCTGGTGAGTGAGTACACTTTAGTCTTTTCCAGTTTAGGGTCACCTCTTTCAATCCAGTTCTCGTAATTCACGAATCTCCACTGAAATGTCTTGCAACAAAATTCAAGGTCCTCTCTGCTCATCAGTGGTGTAAACCAACCTCAAGACAGATGACTGGCTGTGACAGGATCGCCCTGGAGGCCACAGGGAAGCCCAATTCTTTCCCACTGTTCTGTTATGACGAATGATGCTGTAGAATTGCTGAAACCATGTAACAATTTTTAAAAATATTCTAATAACACACTAACCAAAAGGAAGCTTAGTTTAAAAAGGCAGAAAACAGGTTTCAATCACAGCAGAGGGTAAGTGTCTGTCCCTCCCCAGGGCGGGCAGCCAATGCAAAGGAGCTGCTGCTCTTTGGGCAAATCCCTTCTACAGGAGCTAGTCTCCAATAGTGTCCACGCTGCAGGCTGCCAACGGCCTTGCTGTGAGCGGCTCAGCTAGGCCTTGCTCCTCTCCTCTCAGACATAAGCTGGATCCTAACTCACTCTCCCAAAGTTCCCATCCTGCCCCATCCTTCTGGGTTTTGTTGAGACCAGGCATAACAAGCTTCCTTGGGTGACAAAAAAAATGCCAAAGACGTAGTAAAAATGAGGAGGACACATAAACTATTTTCGTTCTCATTACACAAAAACCAAGCTATAATCCCTTCCCCATTTATGCAAAAGTCGGTGCCATAAAACCACAAGCAGAGGATGCATCCTTCCCTGGGAGGGAGAAACGACAGAAGTTTCTTTTCGTCAGTGTGCATGACAAACAGAATTAGTTATTTTTAACAGAAAGGAAGTATCCAGAAGCTTTCCATGTATAAAAAGCTCCACAAAGTACTGTAGAGAATTACAATAGAGATTAGTCACTGTCACCATTGTTTAGGACACGGCCGAGGTAGGTGAATGTTTAACTCATACTTTCTAGAAGGTACAGTGATGATGAGACCATGATGCTTGGGTTTTAGACAGCTCAAGCCTGTCCCTCGCCCTCACCCCAGCACTGACTTATCACACAGTTAGAGGGAGCATCAGCTGGCATTGCTGCTGCTCTTGGCTCTGGGGCCACGCTGGCGGTGCGTGACGTGGTTTCCTGAGGAAAGCAAGGGAGGCTGTGGGGAATGGAGGGACCAGCATGAAAAGACACATGGATGTGACAGTGCAGCGCAGTGCAGGGGGACTGAAGCAGCAGCAGGCAGCCTGGCCAGAGCACAGGGCAGGGAACGTGGCCGAGCCTTCGCGGGGCCAGTCCCATTTGGACCATCTGGGTTACAGAGAGCCTGTCAGGCATTTTTGGTTCCAAGAAACAGACTTATTCAGGTCAGTACATCAGAGGGTGGGATGCTGGTGGAGAACATGGGGTTCCCTGGGCCACCCAGGCCTCTGCTTCTCCCTGCTCCCCTCACTCTTGCTAGCCATGGCCCGCTCGACCCCACGGCCTCCTCCTTCCAGTGTCCTCTGCATTGTCAGCCCTTCCCAGCTGAGGGGTGTGACAATCTCGGAGGTCAAGGAGGAGCAGGGCCAGTGGACCAGATTCCTCGACAGCAGAACAGTGTGGTCTCCCTCCATCCCAGCAGCTGGGGTTTCTAGCCTGCATTCAGAGCTGACGCCATTACACACCAGTGCCCGGCTATCCTAGTCAACAGCTCCTGGGTGCAAATCCTAGCTTTCCTGTAGCAAAACCTCATAAAATCTAGTCTTTGAAACTCCTTCAAGATAAGACTATTAAAGTAATGATGCTGTGGTGTTAGCATCACATTAGAACAGAATGTGAAGAAGTCTGTGGGCCCCACCATCAGTGGAAGACTCTGGCCACAGTCCTAGCACAGCCCCCTCCCCTTCTCTGCTGTCAGAGTTGAGAGAGAGAAGGGAAGAGTATGGAGGGGAATAAGCAGAGAGGACCTTACCCCAAATCACTAGTGGGTTTGTTTGGGGTGAGGGAAAGCGAGGGTCAGTGTCACGTTTATGGGGAGGCCGACTAAGGAAGTAGCCGACACCTGGACGATTCCAGGAAGTGCACGTGGACCAGACTGCTTTTTTTTTTTCTTTTCTTTTTTTAATCCTCACCCAAGGACATATTCCCATTTTTTGTTCAGACAGAGCAGGGGGGAAGAGAGAGAGAGAGAAACATCGATGTGAAAGGTACACATCGAGTGGCTGCCACCTGCACAACCAACCAGGGCCGGGGACAAACTGCAACCAAGGTACGCGCCCTTAGCGGGAACCGAACCTGGGTCTCTCTGGACTGCAGGCCAATGGTCTAACCGCTGAGCCAAACCGGTCAGGGCCAGACTGCTTTCTTGTAAAGCCCCTAGAAATCCTCCTGTGCTAGGATTTAGCAGAAGCACATGGCTCCCCCATCCCCCAGCTACCAGACTCAAAGGTCATAAAAGCCCACCCAGGCCTAATACAGAGCAGCTCAACACGAAGCGCCGGCACCATGAACCAGGCTCGGACCCATCTGGGGAGCAGAGGGGCGGGGAAGAAGCAGAGCTGTGGTTCTGTTTGGGCTCCACGTCGGGAGCTCGCAGGCCTTTGCCTGGCTCTGAGGAAGGCTTTCTCAATACCTGTCTTTCAATTGCAGGTTTTGTCTTAGTCATCGGGCTGGTGACGTTCTATAGAATCGGCCCGTACACCAGCCTGTCCTGGTCTTGCTACCTGAACATTGGTGCCTGCCTCCTGGCCACCCTGGCAGCTGCCATGCTCATCTGGAACATTCTTCACAGGAGAGAGGACTGCATGGCGCCCCGAGTGATTGTCATCAGCCGCTCTTTGACTGCTCGGTTTCGCCGTGGGCTAGACAACGACTATGTGGAGTCACCATGCTGAGGGTTGCCAGGGAGGGGCCCTGCTTGGGACTTTATCCACTGTAATGGAACAGTCTAGAAACCAAGGGACTGCCTGTATGGAGGCGGTCGATTCGTATGGTTTCTTACATATGCATATGTACGATACACAGGTATGTTTACTATGTTTATATAAATATATTATACGACCACATATCGTCTGTGCCAGCCTCCTCCTGACCCACTCACAACCTGGCTTCACGCTCACCCATGTCGCGAGGAAGAGACCAGCGCCTGAGATGCACGCGAGGAGCGGCAGCTGCCCTGCCCAGCACCCTGCCCAGGGTTGGTTCACTCTGCACCTGCTGAGGGGCACCTGCAGCTGCCTTATCTTTGGTAAAGCAGAACATCCCGGGAGGTTTTCTGGAAGTGACCAAGATCTTCCTAGAGTGGCTCAGAATTTGTAATCAGATGGTTACGGCTTTATGACAGGATGGAGTTAGTAATGTGTGTTTGTGCCTGACTATTTTTCTAAGTTAAAATAAAATGCAAACCTCTTACCAGTGTCTAAAACGTGTGCTGTATCTACCGACACTGCCACGTGATAAAAAGAATTTAGTCTAGTTTATGTGGTTTTTGTGGGCTAGCAGTAAGAGGAGGGTTGACACATTTTTTAAAGATCTGGTGGGAGTGTAACTTTGTGTTACTCATGTCCTTATTCACATTTCTGGTCAACTGAGCCTCAGAGCCCATGCTCCTCCAGACTGCACACTGTGGTCATATGACGGCAGGTCCACAACTGGCGGAGTAAGAGGGGAAAGTCCATTTGTTTAAAGAAATCCAGAGATAGGTTCACTTTTTCCCCCTATAAAATCTTTAGCCTATCTTCATCAAATGCTCGGTGGGCTGCACCTTCATGATGCTGCACCCAGCTCCTAAACCAGTGAGAGGAAACCAGGCCATACCTCCCCAGGCGAAATAGAAAACATTTAAAAACTGGCCCATGTCCCCAAGGACTGCCTGACAACATCTATAAGGACAGTCCTCTGACAGCTGCATTGCTTGGGCTCATGCCAACTGGAAGTGGAATCACTGTCGCCATCCGTTAGCCCAGGAAACTGATATAAGGCACTGGTGGGTGCCATGCAAAGCCCAAGGTAAGACCCTGGCTATCACTAGGCTGACCCCCCTTCACCCAAGACATTTTTAGCTTGGTTATTTTTTTTATTGTTAATCCTCACCCGAGGATATTTTTCCATTGATTTTTTTAGAGAGAGTGAAAGGGAGGGACAAAGAGGGTGAGAGAGAGAAATATCAATGTGAGAGAGACATACTGATTTGTTGCCTCCTGCACATGTCCCATCTGGGGCCGGGGATCGAACCTGAAACCCAGGTACATGCCCTTGACCAGCAATTGAACATGAGACCCTTGGGTGTGCGGGCTGACGCTCTAACCACCGAGCAACACCAGCCAGGGCTGGTTGCCTTTAACCTTCCAGAGCAATGAGGTGACCAGTCTGGAATTCAAAGACTATATTGCCCCAGAATAGCCAGAACAAATGGTGGATTGGGCTGGTGCTTTAGAAACAAAGCAATTGAGAATGATTTAAAAGCATCTACAGCCTAATCATCTATAATGAAGTCAGCAGAGTAGAAACAGCAATTCCTGTCCCACAACCTGTACGCTCACAGGAACATTTAGGTTTGAGCTTCCTCCCTTTGAGCTTCTTCCCTACAATGGATTTTCCCCAAAACTATATGCAAAAAATAATTGTTTTTAAAGAAAAAATAATGAAATATTTAAGATGTATAATTTTAATAATATTATGTGTATAATTATATAAATGTTCATTAAAGTTTTAAAGTTGGCCATGTGGTTGATTATAGTCTGTGATCGTGTTTATATGAAATGAAAAGTCATCAGAGAAAGGCTGGGCTATGCCATCCAGCCACTCGAGTTCACTTCCCAACTAAGAGTCCTCTTGTCCACATGGCCAGTGTTGCAAAGGCCCTCCTGCTGGAACAGGGTTGGGCCTGTTTTAGAAACAAGACAAGAACGCGGGTCACATGCTAGTCTGAAAGGTGCTTCCGTGTTACAGAAGCCATCACTGCAAATGAGAAACACTTGGTCCAGGTAACTTAATTTCCCATCTTTCTCTTCCCACTTTAGTTTCATTCATAATTTTTCTACCCTTTCAAGATTAAAATCCATCAAATGCTCCTGGGAAGAATTGCTGAATTCTCTCAGGAACAGAGAGGAACCTGCTTTTAGACAGCCTTTGACGAGAAACTTCTTTTAGAGCAATTTTAATTGTAGTTTCACTGCACTGTTCTGAGTGTTTATTAGCAAACCCTTTTTTGTTTAGTAGCAATTATTCCCAGAGGGACAGGTATTACAAATATTTAGCGGCTGCAGAACTTTCGACTAGGAAGTGTCCAGAACACTGCAAAAAGAATCAAAACAAATAAAGAACAACGCAAGAGGCTGCAAGCACTGCAGAGGCCGAGCGCCAGGCTCACCTGCTCCCTGCGCCCAGCTGGCTGTGCCAACACTCTCTGCTCTGTGGCGCAACGTGCCGGGCGTGTCCTGGCATCTACACGAGCAGTGGCATTTCATTGAGTGAAAAGACCAGGAAATACAGCAGGACAGAGTCACAGATGAATTAGTGATGCTTAGGATCTCATTTAGAATGGGGAGAGAAAGGACTCTAAGAGTGTGCACATCCCTCCGACACCTCTGTGAACGAAATCCTCACCATTTTTTTTGTTGTTGTTGATTCTCACCCAAAGGTATTTTTCCATTGTTTTTTTTTTTTTTTTTTTTTTTTTTTAGAGAGAGAGAGTGGAAGGTTGGGAGAGGAAGAGAGAGGGGGAAAAGAGAGAGAGAAACATAGACATGAGAGAGACACATCTATCGGTTGCCTTCCACACGACCCTGACCAGGGCTGGGGATTGAACTTGCAACCCAGGTATATGCCCTTGACCAGAATCGAACCCGAGACCCTTCAGTCCCTGGGCAGACACTCTAACAGCTGAGCCAAATGGGCCAGGGCAGAGTCCTTACCTTTTGATGAGTTTGATAGATTTGAAAGCTTCGTCCATGTCTCCAACAGCGATGAAGAAGCTGAAGTTGATCATGGCATTCCGGGTGGTCTTGTCGCAGTCCTCCAGCCCCACAAAGTCACGCAGGGGCCTCCTGCCCACCATCTGGGGGACGGAGTGGTGCCCTGCATCCACCTGGTCGTCTCTGTCTGCTTCTCCTGGCTGAATGAGAAAGGGCACTGTTACCTGTTAGTTCGTGTAAAGCTAACGCCTGCACTAAGCCTCTTTCTCCTACGTCAGCCATGGGGGTCCCTCTGCAGAGAGATGCAGCAAAAACCTGTCCTTATTTGAAATCAGAGCTTTTGGCTCTGGTTTCAGACAGCAGATAAGCAAAAGCTGTCCATGCACAGGAATTCGTTTTTCAGCCGCTGGTTCCCTAACAGCTATAAAATAGTTGTGAAAATCCCCATCTCCCAGGTTGGTTTTGTAAACTAGAAAGTTTTTACTATCAAGTCAGACGTGTACACATATGCGCAAGCTCTTAAAATGAAGTAATGTCATCATAATTTCAGGTGGAGTTTTCCAAAATGGTAACCTGGATTAGTGGAGCGTCCTCCACTGATTTTTCTCAGAAGAACTGTCAACCTAGTGTAGAACTCCCCAAACAGACGTGAGGAAAGATGGTCTGAGCACGAGCACGATTTTATAGCGTCCTGCTTGAGGCCTTTTCATACCGGGCACCTACTGAGGGAGCTCCCTCAAATATTGGCTTCCTTCCTGACTGCTCTTGCCCGCACGCCCCCCTGCTCTCCTCCAGGCTGGAGCCCACACGCACCATCCTCTGTCTTCCACACTGTCTGCTTCTTTCTCTCTGCAGGATCCATTTCTTCGGTGTACACTTGCTACTCGTGTAAAAAAGGGTCATGATCTACCCTCCTGGACCCAAAGCCCCTGTACGTCACTGGGCTTGAATCTGTTGCTACTCCATGACTTCTGCAAGGCTAGCCTCTACCACCTGCCCAGTTTCCAGCAGCTCTTCCATCTCACCGCTGCTTCCCAAGTTAACCTGCGGTCCCCAACTTCAGACAGTGCTTGACCAGGGCCTTGAGACACTGGTAGGATGTGTCAGACCCAGGTGTGGATGGCAAGACCCTTCCAGGCACAAGGCACAACATAAGCAAAGGCCCTCAGGCAACCCATGGTCCAGGGCTGCTTAATTCAGGATTCATGGCCGTGTGTAGGCTGGGTCACACTAGGCAGGAGGCTGAAGTTTGGACTACTTTTGCATGGGGTGGGAAACCTTTGGAAATGTGCATGTACAAAAAACGACTGGGCACTGCTGATCACTGTGGTTTAATCATCACAAGGCAGGACCTGGTGTCCACCAGCCTTGCTGTGATCTAGTCAGAGCCCTGCTCCTATGAGCACACTTGGGAATTCTCACAGAAGCAGGAGCACCTGAGGGCCCTGCTTCACCTGCTGCCTGCCCCAGCATTTGCGTTGCCCTCATTACAGGTCTTCGAGGTGGGGACTGAACCACCTGCTCTGGCCACACGTGGAAGCCAAGGACCTAGGCTGCTGACTCTCAAGTGTGTGGATGGGAACCTCTGGGACGTGGCCAAGGGATGTAAACACAGGTCAGTAACCAGAAGAGCAGCTTTTAAGGAAATACAATGCCTCCCTCCTCCCCACATTTGGTTGATACTGGTGACTTACCTTCCACAGCCATTCATCATAAGCACCTCAAATGAATAAGACTTCCTACATTGCAAATGTAGGTAAACTATTTCCTGTACTACAAACATCAGGTGACAGGCTGTTCGCGCCATGCGTCTGACCAGGACGAGAGCTCTGTGGTGACATGGGTGTGCTGCTACCCATGAGGAGCTAATACGGTGTCACGTGCCTGAACAGCCTGGTTAAAGAGGATATGCAGGTGAGGTGGGAAGTACTGTCCCACAGACAACTATAGCTTAAAATGGAAGATCTTGAGAAAAAGGCAGAGTTAAGGTGACGGATAAGCGGGGAGTCGTCTGGCGCTGCGTCACACGTCTCCACTCCTGGACAGCCGGGAGAGTAGGCACGAAGAAGACAAGAAGTGAGAGACAGACTCAGAAACGTGTGAGAGAAACCAAAGTCCGAAATGTGATGACAATGGCGGAGAACGCGATAGAAAGAATGTAAATGTCTCTCACAACTTCCTGAGTTCTCAAACCAAAGCGAGAAGAAAATGCCTAAGGAGCACTAAATAACAAATTCAGAAAAATGCTAGTCTGTGGAACCAATCTATTGCAAATAAGGGACTAAGGAAACCTGCATCGACAGACAGAGGGATCCTGGAATTTGGGGGTCACGTGAGCCCATCCCAAGCTTCACAAAGATCATCCCAATTATCTCAGGGAAATGTCAATCCACATACTATGTGTCGTGCCAATGGCCATGCTATGTCACTTTAAGTGGTATTTCTAGGGATGTGTGAACCGACTGCGCCCAGAGTTGTTTCGATCACTCATGCCACGATGCGTGCAGTTTCAGCAGCCTCAGAACCGCAGACCCCCACGCAGCTCGTCGGGACGTTCAGAGGTCAGGGGCCATGGAGCCAAGGAGACCAAGTCCCAGGGAAGGCAAGCAACCTGTCCAAAGTAGCCACGTTGGGGCATAAGCATATGTGTGCTGAAAACGATCCTGTTCTCTCACAAACTTAAAAACTGTCCATGTACGTAACATGCACAATCGTAGGCAAGTACAGAAACCTCTAGGAAGGCCACCTGCCAGCCTCTTCACCGTGACCATCTCTGGGGGCTGGGTCTATGGAGATTTACATCGTCTTTGGTCTTTATTTCTTTATTTATACCTTCTAAATTTTCTACAGTGGATACAGGAATACACAATATTTAAAAAGCAGCTAGAATAAAAAAGAAGGCAGAAAAGCCACAGGTTGAGGTGCCCCCAGGGGAAACACTGGGAGGACGCCTGAGTGACATCATGACCCTCCTCCTTAGCACAACTCTGTCTCAAGAGCAAAACCTTGTCTCATGATTCTCCAAACATGGGAGACCTCATATTGCTGGGATTTCAGGGAACAAATTAGAGCCTTGTTTAATGAGCTGTGAGCAGAGGCACCAGACTCCAGCACCTGGGAGACCCAAGCCCAGCCCAGGAGAGGGACCCGAGAACACCACGCAGTGCTCATGGGACTCACACCTTTCTTGTGAAGTAATAATGGGGCACTTCCATTCCTAGAAGAGACTGGTAGGCGG